TAGACTGGGAGTTGCATCCAGGCCTGGCCCTAGAATCCACACCCCCCAGTGGTAGACTGGGAGTTGCATCCAGGCCTGGCCCTAGAATCCACACCGTGTGAATGATGCTGCCCCTTGTGTCTATTCTTTCCAGTTCATGGTCAGATCAGACACAGGGGCGTTAGTTCTGGAGGCGTTCTCTTCCCACTCCTGCTGTGCTGGCCTTCCTTCATAGTATTACATGATTCCCATCTCCACACAGAGGCTTCTCCAGTAGGAGCTGCCTTTTCCCAGCTGCTCTTCGTGAAGTTATTCCTCTTCCTTGAAGGCACATGGGATGACATTCCTTCTCTAGACTGCTTCCAGAGTCCTGGGTACCATCTGCCCAGACTCCCTGCAGAGCACCGAAGGTCCCCAGCAGAGGATCCTGCTCTTTCTTGGTGTATTCAGCGGTGGCCACCACAAACTCCCTGCCCTTCCCCCATTTCTTTCCCATTTTACCAACCCTCCTCTCCTGCATCTCCACAAGTCCTTTAAGATTTAACTCAGGGTTCGGGCTTGTAGGAAGTCTTCCTTATTTCCTCTTGTCTGGAGAAAGTTTCCTTTCCAGGTGCTTCTGTTGCCTGGGACTTGGCACTGTTCCAGCTCTCTCTAAAGTCTTCCCAGCCCACTCTGTCCTGCATTAGAACAGGAGCTCCTGGGGCTAAAAGGCCACATAACTTAGTTTTGAATCTGCTACCTGGCACAGGGCCCAAACCATGAGAAAAGAACTAACAAGTCTGCTGGATTAATATATTAACATAATCCTCTCTATGTATCCTGGCCACTGAGAACCGGTTCAACCATTCAACCATGTAACATCACTGGGGTTGGGGAGGGACTTGGCCTTTGGGACTCCTATTCTAGGAAACAGAAACTTTCCCATTCCGGGAAACAGCAGGTGCTTTCCAGTGCTAGTAATAAACAGCTGTTTGGCTGTTGTTGGGAGGAGGTGCAGTGAGAGTGAGGAGCACTTTTGCAGATCATCCAGACCCACCCAGCACTGAGGGGGGAGGGGGTCTGGGAATGTGGCTTAGTGGTAGAGTGCTTGCCTAGCTAGCATGAAACCCTGGGTTCAATTGCTCTGTACCACATACACAGAAAAAGCTGGAAGTATTGCTGTGACTCAGGTGATAGAGTGCTAGCCTTGAGCAAAAGATGCTTAGGGACAGTGCCCAGGCCCTGAGGTCAAGCCCCAGGACTGGCAAAGAGAGAAGGGGTGGGGCTGGCCTTGATATGGTAGAGGAAGTAAGGATGAAATATAATATTTTGACTTGGATTGTGTAAAATGGATAATGAATGATTTTAAGATATAAATGTAACTGTGCTTTCTGTGGATGAGACTTCCCTGATAACTAACTAGCTATTTTAGCTAGTAACTGCAACTGTAACTCTGTAACCTTGTAACTCTGTAACTCTGCTTCTGCTGTTTTCTGAGCAATGGGAGCCCTAACCCAGCCAAACCATCACCACCCTTTTTTTCTATTCCCCTGCTTCCCGCCAGCAAAACCTTGGCGGGAAATTTAAACTTAAGGTGCAAATTTCTTGTAACAATCATTGGCTAAAACCAACACCCAACCTCCCCCTTTCCCCGCCCTAGTTTTAAATGCTTAAAAGCCGATGTGGGCTGGCACTCAGGGCTGTTTCACTGCAGACTGAGTGGTCTCACTGCACGTCCTCACTATAGCCTGATTCCCCTTCCTCTTACAAAATTATTTCCTCCTCCTCTTCCTCTTCCCCTCTCCCCACTCTCTCCAGTACTAAGACTTGAACATAAGACCTGTACTTATGACTTTTGTTTAGCTTTTTCACTCAAGGTTGGTGCTTTACCACTTGAGCCACAACTCCAGTTCTGTTTTTTTGCTGGGTAATTGGAGATAAGAATATCTCAGATTTTTCTGTCTGGATCTTTGAGTGTTTTCCTGTGTGTGTGTTTCTTCTAGTAGCTTTAAAGTTTCAGATCTTACATCAAGATTTTTTTGATTCACTTGGAGTTAATTTTTGTATAAGGTGAGAGATATGGCAGGATTACTCTTTCTAAAGGAAAACAGGAATGGAGAGAGGAGGAGTGAGGAAAACCTTTCAGATTTCTTTTGGACCCACAATTCTCTTTTTTTGGGGGGGGTCCAGTTGTGGGCCTGAACTCTGGGCCTGGGTGCTGTCCCTCAGCTCTTCAGCTCAAGGCTAGCGCTCTACCACTTGAGCCACAGTGCCACTTCCGGCTTTTTTCTTTTTGCTTATGTGGTGCTGAGGAATCGAACCCAGGACATCATGCATGCAAGGCAAGCACCCTACCACTGAGCCACCTTCCCAGCCCTGGACCCACAATTCTCTATCTTGTCTATCCTGCCCTCAGTGGAAACTGCATTGAGTCAGTCCTTCATGACCTTGCTTTGTGGGATGGCTACCAGAAGGCTGCATGGCGCCCTGATAAGGAGGAAATGTGAATGGTAGGGTTTGAAAAGGACTGGAGACTAAACAAAAACACAAGATTGTCCTTGGCAGGCAAGGGTGGCGGATGCCTGTAATCCTAGCTACTTAGGAGGCTGAGATCTAAGGATTATGCTTCAAAGCCAGTCTGGGCAAGAAAGTCTGTGAGTCTCTTATCTCCAATTAACCACCAGAAAACTGAAAGTGGCTCTGTGGTTCAAAGTGGTAGCATGCTATCCTTGAGCCAAAACCCTCAAATTCAAGTTCAAGTTCAAGCCCTGAGTGAAAAATAAATAAGATGGGCACTGGTGGCTCACTCCTGTAATCCTAGCTACTCAGGAGGAGGCTGAGATCTAAGGATCATGGTTCTAAGCCAGCCCAGGCACGAAAATCCATGAGACTCTTATCTCCAATAAACCACTAGAAAATTGGAAGTGGTACTGTGGCTCAAGCGGTAGAGCACTTGCCTTGAGCTGAAGAGCCCAGGGACAGTGCCCAGGCCCAGAGTTCAAACCCCAAGACTGACCAAAAAACAAAACAAAAACAAGTAAATAAATAAATTAAAAAAAACAACACTAAAAATGAATAAATACAAATGTCCTTGTTTAGGTATGTTCTGGTGCCATCTAGTGGTCATAAGAAATGTTAGGTTTTTGTTTTTTGTTTTTGTTTTTTTGAAACCAGAATGTTATGACTTATAATTCTCATAATAATTATTCACTGGATGTTTATTGTGTGCTGTGTCTGTGCTAGTACCTGACATTTATCTTCATACATGCCAGCCATTTCTAGCTCAATTCTAATGGGCCACTGAAGTAGGAAAGTGGATTTTGCTAAATTTTGCAACAAAACTTCCCAGATAGTCATTCATTAACTACAATATCCACTTTTGGAGATAAGTCTCACAAACTTTCCTGCTTGGGCTGGCTTCAAACCACGATCCTCAGATCTCAGCCTTCTGAGTAGCTGGGATTACAGGTGTGAGCCACTGGTGCCTGGCTCTCTTCTTC